AATGTTCAAAATCCCTAGCTCTAAGAGAGATGCAAATCAAAACAACTATGAGATATCATCTCACCCCAGTCAGAATAGCAAAATTTAACAGAACAGAAAACAACAAATGCTGGTGACGTTGTGGAGAAAATGGGACTCTTATTCACTGTTGGTGGGAGTGTAAAACAGTGCAACCACTATGGAAGGCAGTAAGGAGCTTTCTCAAAAAGTTGGAAATAGAAATACCATTTGACCCAGGAATTCCACTACTGGGAATATACCCTAAAGAAACCAGAACTTCCACCTAAGCAGATATATGCACACCCATGTTTATTGCTACTTTGTTCACAATAGCAAAGGGTTGGAAACAACCCAAGTGTCCATCAATAAATGAATGGATAGAGAAGCCATGGTATATTCACACAACAGAATATTATGCAGCACTAAAAAAACAAAGGACTCATGACATATTATACAAAATGGGTGATCCTGGAGGACATTATGCTGAGTGAGATATTTCAGTCACAAAAAGACAAATACTGCATAATGCCACTATTATAGAACAGGTCTCATAAGGGGTTTGGGGGGAACTTAGAAAAGAGAGGATAAGTAATGTATACAGCATTGAAATAAGTGAGGGAGAGAACTATATAAAAGGAATATATGATTAGTTATTACTGGCATGACAAGAGTCCAGAATAAGAGTTGCATAGTAAAGTGGTGGTGATGGGTGGACTGTATAACAATGAAAGAAATTTTTTTCCAAAGAAAAAAGCAAACTGGGGTGGAGAGGAGGGGGTCATGGAGGAAAATGTGCAACAATGAATGAATGGAAATCCAAGTTCTTTATAAATTTTCATTAAAATACTAAAAAAAGCATAAATGCACATATAGTAAAGGCACTACATTCCTCTTCACCTCACTGCTGTCATGTCCGTTTTGACTCACATGGACGCTTTATCAGGTTTCTGAGGCTGTAATTCTTTACTATGGGAGGAAACTGCACATTTTGCTCCTGGGGAGCAGATGGTGGATTAGAATACATACCGTTCTACTCCACTACTATTCCTTTTATTCCTCTTAGAGGTATGACATATTTAAAGAAAGAAAGAAGACTGGAAACAGAAGGTGTTAATATGTGCTGAAAATGGAAATTGTGTAGTAACAAGAAAACCTCGAACATATTGTTTGATTTCTACATCTGTAAAATGAGTTTAACACCAACTACAAGAGAGTTGACAGAATAAATAAAAGTAATTAGAAAGACAACTAGTAAAGGTGTATGAGGATCCAAGGAGGTTGGGGAGGAGCAAAGGGGTGAGGATGGGGTGAGGGAAGTGTACGTAATCATAGAGTCGCACAATTTGATAGGTGGAAGGAGGGGTGGGTAAAGGTAATGAGAAATATCTGGTTTGGAAAACAATGTATACAAACTTTGTAAGTAAACCAGTATAAAATAAAAATTTCAAAAAAATAATATAAAGAAAGGTATTAGGTAAATTTAGACTAGTATTTGTAGTTCCTGAACTGATGATTTATGTCTTGAATCAAAGACCGAGGAAAGGTAAAAAAATAAAAGGTGTATTCTTACCTTCTTTGAGAAGAATAAATACTCCTTGTTTATCCATCTTCAAATCCAAAGATATATGAGAGCAGTCTGTGAATGTAATGGTTTCTTTGGTCTCTTGATTTACATGGTACATTGCAATGGGGATTTCTATACTCTGACCAATCTTCACATCAGCATGAAATGGTAGCAACTCCATTTTGTTCAGTTTCAGGACATATATCTGGAGGAAAACAGTAATTCACCTGTCAAAAAAGTTGTTCTAAAAAAAAAGTCTTGGGAAAAAAAGAATTCATTCCTTAAATATTTTAAAACATTATGTTTCACAAATTCCTTTTTTTTTTTTTGTCTTAGAGTTACATAGTATTCCATTGTGTGGAAACACAACAGTTTAGCTACTCATCTGTTGATGGACACTTTTTGTATTGTTTCCATCTCTTTGCTACTGGAAAGTATACTGCATTGAACATGGTGTGCATATAACTGCTCAGGCCACTGATCTTATTTTTTAGCATGTGGGATTGCTGGATCAAATGGTATTTCTAACTTTCTAAGGACATGTCAAGCTGTTTTCCAAAGTGGTTGCACCATTTTACATTCCTACCAGCAATTTGGACCTGTTACAAGGAAGGACTAGTCCTTGGAGAGGGATGTCATGCTTGGGAGGGTGGACGGACAGCGCGATGAGGTGGATTGACTCAGTGACTGGGGCTATTGGGGTAGGTGTGTCAGAGACAGTGAGATTGGCACAGGATAGAAAAGGGTTTAGGTCTGTTGTACATAGGGTCACTATGAGTCACAGGTGACTCAATGGCACATAACAATAACAACCAGCAAATAAGAGTTCCAATTTCTATATCACCACCAGTTGTTGCTTGCTCTTAACTGAACTTTGTTATTGTTACTGAAATGAGATGATAGTTGATTGTTGATTTGATTTGCAGTTCTTTATTGGCTAATGATCTTGAACATTTCTTCACATGTTTGTTTGCCATCTGAATATTATCTTTTTAAAAATATTTTTTTATTTTATACTTGTTTATGAATGTTATCTTTAGTGACATGTCTTTTCATATCCTCTGCCCACTTCGTAATTAGATTGTTTGTCTTTTACTTGTTAAGGTTCCTTGTCAGCTATATCATTGCCAATATTTTTACTAAAAGAGCTTGTTAGGTTCTCTTTAAGCCATATATATCTTTTTTATTAAATTTTATTAGTTTTAATGAACATTTACAGAGATTTTGGGTTTTCATTCATTCATTGTTGCACTGTTTTCTCCACCCTCATCCCCAGTTCCTTCTTCTTCCCCCCCATGTGTGTTTTAATTGTCCAATTGCCACAGCGTTTGTCAAAGCCAGTACTGATTAATCTCCTTTGTCAGTGTGTCCCT